CTGCTCCTGCACCCACGTCATTCGCTGTATATATATGTCTTGGGCATACTTTAAGATACATACCCCCTGTCGACCACGTAGTATATAAACAACCACACTCGTTGAACTGCCATAGAAACCTCATCGATCTTGGTCACATAAAAACTCTGCAATCTTCTGTGGTCACAGTGAATGAAAACGCCGGTTGATGTATATTCTATTTCGTTCGTCTTGACTCATAACGCTCATGATGAATGATGTACATGCTACGGGGCGACGGACCCCTGACTTCCTTCAGGCGCCAGGCCCCTAGTCGTAGAACACCAAGCATCTGACCTCGATGCTCTGTCGCCCTTTGGCATCCGCGGGGGTGTTCGGGTCGACGAAGGCTGTGTGTGGCGTGTAGTCTGCAACACCCGGCTTTCCTCCGGGCCGCCCTTGGCTCCGCGAGTCGAAGCACTTGATGAACATGACCTCGTCGGGTGTCATGTCCTTTGCGTAGTAGAATTTGTGCTTGTCGCTCGGCGCAACAGAAAAGGTTTCGCCTGGAAACATTGTCAGCAAGAGATCCCACCGCGCCGACAAAACGCCCGATGCCGTGGCGGGTCGGGGTCTCGAAACTCACCTTTCACTTCATAGCCCTCGGTGGACTGCGCCAGGCTCGGGTCGGGAAGGACCTCCTTGCCCCGGTCGTCGTCGTCCGCGTCCGTCCTCTTGGGGTAGAGCAAGTCCACCGCAACAAGGTCTTTTGGCTCCGTCGTCCGCCAGTCGATCACGGCCAGCGGGAAGTCGCTCGCAGGGTGCCCGATGGGCCTCCACACGTTGATGATTTGGTACCGCCCCTTCAAGAGCTCCTCCGCCTCGTCCCCGGGGACGTGCCTCCGCACGCGCACCTCGGCGGCGGCGGGCGTCTGGTCGACGTGCACCTGCTGGACCGGCTGCCTCGGGCTGTCCTTGACCCTCCGGCGGATGGTGTGGTCAAAGATGACGACCTTCTTCACGCCGGGCAGTTTGGCGCGCAGCACCGCCTCAACCTCGGGGTAGTACCTGCCCCGGACGGCGGCATCTTCGGTAAAGTCCTTCTCCGTGGCCGGGGCGTTATACACGGCGAAGCCGGACACGTCGGTGCCAAAGTCCTCACCAGCATCGCGGATGTTAGCGACCGAGCGCCGGCGCTCGGTGCGGCTGAAAGATGTGACGTCGGTGTCTACCTTGGTCCAGGGCTTGCTGTTCGCGCCGCCCAGGGTCGCGGGGTCCAGGTAGCGGAAGTTGCCGGTCGTCATTGTCGCGAGGGGTCTGCTGTGGGTAATGCGGGAAACACCGCTGTTTCTGATGCTGGGTTTGAGTGTTGATGCGAGGATTGAGGTTCGTCGTAGGACTGTGGTCATAATAGGGCGGATTCACGTCTAATGTCAAGTTGATGATGAGATCTTTTGACCAGAGACGGGATGAGGAGGGGATATATCGAGGATGAAAAGGGGGGGCTTTGAGTTGCACTATAGGTAGGACGCGAATAAGAGCCACGGAATGACGATTGCATCACCAGCGAGATTGTATTAGTCAGTCATTCGGTATTTCTAAGCATCCGAAGGCCACTTCCGGGGCGGCGCAATTGCGGGGTTTGATTTTCAATCACCGACACGCCGCCACCCGCTTGGCTGCCGGTCCGGGTGTGAGTGAATACATTCCGACCCATCGCCGACAGCCCCTCCGCACATGGTATCGAGTCGACGTAAGATATCCCAGCTAGTTCCCCTCGTGTTCACCCCTATACTATTTCAGGTATAGCTCACACTTATAGTACTTCCTCTACGCTGGCGGCTGTTAGTGACCTTTCTCTCCTGTCGCTATCACCATCACTATTGTCATAGACAAATTAAACTTTTACTACGGCTAGCCAATTAGTTTATGACATGAAGCTGTAAGAACTAGAAAAAGAATTCCTCTATAGTCAGAGTGTATCCACACTAAGGTGGCGACAGAAACGCATAGAAGATGCATGTTAATTATGTCATCACGAACACCACACGGAAACCTAACCTGCTCCTATCACTGTATGCATACACATTCTGTAGGCCACAACTGCAGAGCTATGTTCATCCCATGGTCTGTTCCCGTATACATGCTGTTGACTTGTCCTCCAGCCGGTCACTGCAATGTACGCCTCACCTAGGTAAGATATGACCGTATTGTTACTACGTCGACCCAGGCCATTCCCAGAGCGTGGACAGCGCAGATCTAAGTTTCTCTAAAGCCATGCCATATTTACTTACTATGTATGCACCGAAAGTATGGGTGGCGGTTAGACAACCATTTTAGTGGTTGGCGACGGATCAAAACGAAAAAAGGAACCTATCAATATAAGCTCTGTGTTCCGAAACCGAGAATCGAACTCGGGGCTATGCCTAACCTCTCACGGGGATGAGAGGGCATCATGTTGGCCACTACACCATATCGGATTTTGAGTTGTGATCTATGGATCCGTAAAGAAAATTGTGAATCATGCAGTGGAGGCGGAAACACCAACTGATTGCTTGCAAACAGCCGTGCATGGTCCAGTGCCCCACTGCGGAACCAGCATCAATAGGGAACCACGTCGGAGAAGATCTCCATGCCCAGAGCAGACTGGGTCACACGGGTTGGTTTTGTTACTTGAAGATTGGAATTTCTCAAACGTGCGACATTACTCAAATCTCAATGATTGTTACCGGCGACGGAAACCTCCAGGCAGGAAACACAGAACCAACAGCCAGGTGCAGAAACACTCGTTAATAGCGATATGCGTAACAAATACCCAGACCTGTCTTCATCTGCAATTCATGTGCTATACGTGAGGCCATGTGAGCGGGGCAGACGACATTTGTCCAGAATAGGTCTAGAGTCACAAGAAAATAGTAGTGCCTTATGAACATGTTCAGTTAGCTACAGTTTGTATTACAAAGAGACTTGAGCAACTGTCTCTCAGAACTCGACCGGTTCGTCAATATTTGCTTCACCGCCCTCTATGTCTCAACTGCGATGTCAGACAGCCATTTGCCTTTGACCTCATATGCCGGGATGGACTTGCCAGATTGCGGCCACGGGAAACTTTTATCTTCCGTATTACCTGCCTGTTGGGCGACGCCTGATCCTGCCAAGCGAGTCTTACACAATCCATCCAATCCGCTGTCGTCAGGAGGTTGTCCTGTCAGCGGCGATGCACTCGGCGTTGCTGACACCACCTTCCGGGAACCATAGTGGAAAGCAGAAGGAAAGCCCTCCTTTTCACATCCCTGTGGTGACGCCTAGGGACTTGTGCCGGTTATTTAAAGACTGGATCATCTCTAGTCCATGGCAAGAAGGTGAAGAACAATGCCTGCATCTTGTGAATTCCTGAGCACCAGATAGTACAATCCCCGGCGCCTTAAGCACCCATCACGATGAAGGCCCTCGCTGCCATTGCTGTTGTGGCAGCCTCTGTCCTTGCGTCGGACTTTGTCTACACTTGCAAGAACGAAGCCCTTGACCCTACAACTAAAATCCTGACAGCGAACTGCGACATCGGCGACGGCAAGGGCACTCTGAAGCCGGCGTCCCTGGACTTGGATGACTGCTACGGCTATACTGACAATACATTAGTGGTATGCAAGAGCTCCTTCCTTCTCAACTAATACCGTAGAACCACTTAGGCCCTTGGGCCGGCGCCTGGAATGTTGTTATGTGAAAAGACTTGGCCGGAGTTGTCGCTGCTAACACCGTATCGCACCGCAGCTGAGTCCCCAAGGCAATTTCAGTCAAGCTTGCGACGATTGCTATACTTTATGGCGGGCGTATCCCATTTGGTGGGATCCCCCCAGATTAAAAATGAATTGCACATGCATTGGCGCTGCTGATGAAGTTCAGGTTGACATTCGTAAGTTAACAGATCTTATTGACGCTTGTAATTGTTTTCCAAGTTTCTGGGGATACATCCTGCGACTTTGCTTGGATCACACCTGTTGACATGTGTTGCAGAATGGGGGGTGACCAACGACGTGGGAAGTTTGAGGTGCGATTTCCATGTATGAGAAAGATAGCTGGCAGGAGATATCTCACGATTGCCGCCGCTTGGGCGAATGCATGCATTCTTTTCTTTTCACTCCGACGGCGCGATGGTTAGGGGGTACATCTCTGATGACCTGTACACGAAGAAAACCATCAGTACATAGCATAGCGTATTCAAACATTAATGAACTACTGTGTGTAGTCAACCGGACGCTGTGCTTCGGACCGAGCTTCGGTTGGCAGTAGCACTCCGGTCGGCATCCTTCAGGATCTTGTCCTCGAACCAGTTCCCAAACAGCCTTCCATATTGATGTATGCATACGAAGAAGAGGATTGAATGTACGAGCAAATAAAGGCAGCGCGAAACTGCCTAAGCGGAAGGGAAAGGGTTCTTCCCCTTTAGTGACAGGTACTGATTGACAACTATCTATAGTAAACTCCCTCCCTATGGACACTAAAAATTACGTATAATCGTGACGAAATGATGTATGCATTTTCTCGTGATTACCATCAATGATAAAATAGGCGAGTTTCCTTAGCGGAGGTACGAGAAGGCTGATCAAGTTTGATATGGAAATCCGGCCTCAAGGGAGGACTAACTCGGCCCTTCCTACCAGTCCGTGGCTTTGGTCCGTTGGAAAACAAGTCACAGGCTGCCTAAAACAAAGCGCAAACATAAAGGGAATGAGTATTGACTAAGCTGAAGGTCGAGGTGAATAAAGCCTGGACAGACCAAAATTTGTCCTGGAAGAAAGTGTATAGCAGCTGCTACAAGAGTTGCTCACGTGACGACATAATAAAAATGAATTGCTAGCCAACCAGTCAGTCACATTACGCCTGTCTGTAAAGGAAACATCTTAGCTGGTAGTTTTGTCTATACGGTTCAAGCATGCACAGAAACGAATGCGTTGGTGGTAAAACTCATCACGTAAAAATAAAATAGAATAGACGGCAACGCCAAAAAATGCTTCCCATCACCACGTCAAAATGCAAAAGATTGACCAACGTGGGGCTCGAACCCACAACCTCCAGATAACTACAATCCTTTCGAAGGAAAGGAATGATAGAAGTCTGAAGCGCTACCATTGCGCCAGCCGGCCAGATGGATCAGATCTGACGGCTGAAGGTAGAAACGTGCCTATGTTTGCCTGGGTACGGGGCTGGGGATGGATTCCGCTTGGCTCTCGGGTGCCGAATCCTACAATCTAATGCGCCGTCACGAAAAATTCGAGGTGACAAGTGGGTGTGGCTGGTGGGGTTCTGACGCAATGGTTCGTTGCCGGGATCATCTTGTTTGCGCTGTGGAATATCTGCAGCCTATTCGGTGATTTCTTTTTTTTTTTTTTTTTTTTTTTCACGTTGGTTTCCGTGCTGCAGCAGTTCTGGCCAAGGCAAACCCCAAACCGTTGCGAGTTGACCCATCCCGACGAGGAATAAACCAGTTAGAGCCCTGACGATGGGGCTGAGCGGGCTCCCTGGTGGATGTCATGCAAGGAACATGAGAGGGAGAGAGGAGAGAGAAGAAAAAATTCTTCAGCAAAATTTCTTCCTCTTCGGAACCCCCAGAAAGTTCCAAACAAGCAGCAAGGAAAGGGGAGGGAAAAACTCCGTGGGTACAAGCCCACACCCCCCCGGGATCCATGCGGCAGACCCCCCCTCCGCCTTTCCGTCTTACACGGGAATGAAGACGCTGCAACACGCAGTCGACCAACGGGACTCTCTCGCAACGTATACATGCAACGTACACACTGTCTCGGAGCTCCGCCGGCATCAGGCAAGACTCGCCGAAGTTGACCTGCCGAAGGTTGCCGTCCTGCAAGCTTCTTGGACTGCTTTCCGCCGTCCCCTCGCGTCTGTGAGGCTCTTGGAGAAACCATGCCCGCCTCCCGGAAGAACGTCCGGTAGAACCGCCCCATAGAATCACGTAACGGAAACCGTCTCCCCCGTCTTCAAGTACACTCAGCATCCACCGGGGAGGGAGATGCTTAACACGCCACACGCCCCCCCTCCTCTTCTCTTCCCAGAATCGGCGACCGCCGATCCCGAGCCCAGTGTTCTTTATTTGCGCTCAAGAACCGTCCAACGTCACGACAGCCTGCGAGAACCATCCAAAACGGCCGGCTCCGATACTGACCATGATCCCGGTCTAAGCGGTCCGGCCTAGACGCTGACACAGCATCGGGCATGACTTCGGTCAGACGTGACTCATGTGGATTGTTCTTACCTAAGTGAGACCCTACCGGAATGCCATCCGAAGGCGTGCTGCGGCGGCTGGACCTCGACGCAGACCGGACCGGAGCGCCCAGCCGCACACACGAACATACACACACATACAGTCGTGCGACGGGGATACCTCACCATGCACCGTCGTGACAGAGTTTCGGCGTCATCCGTTTCGAGGATGGCGCCACCTCCGAGAGTGCTCCGTTGGCGGCAACACTTGCCCCAACCAGGCACTACTCACACTTGCACTTTTTCAATGCGCGCTTGCCGGCATTGAGTATAGGAATCAGGGCAGTCATCTCCGAAAGCCCTGAAGCCTAAGTGATTGGGAGGTTAGGTTACAATAATCCACGGTTATCGTGTTCCTTCATCTAGAAACCATGTTTTATGTAGAGTATATTCGGCATAACACTTTTACCGTGTTTTTCTAACAGTGTAACTATCCTTGTGTACCTGTGCGAACTGAAGAAGGAACCGCCTTGTAACCGTACCTCAGTGAATGGGAATGCTCCTGATCACGTATCATCATTCCTTTAGGCAGGTAGCACAGTTGAGCCCGTCAAGGTCAAGCTGTCCGCGTCGCTCGGAGCGAAAACCTGACCCGCCACCATCGACGCGGAGGTTCTAGACTTTACTTACAACCCTCTCTCTCCCCTGGCTCCCCCCGTCTTTCGATCCCGTGGGCCAGTGTCTCCAACTTCTCCAAGCACCAACCCTCCCGCCCCGGGGGTTCTCGTCACGTAACGGTTAGCTAAGATGAACGAAATAGCCTCATCAGATCTCAGGAACCCTGACCTTTCGGAACGGCCCCGTCCCAATGAGATCGAAAAAAACAACTACATAGTAAGTAGCTAAGAGGGGGTGACACCAAACCTACAGCATGCGTACCCGCCGGGAGGCTGCCCGCGCGCAACGTGGGATGAGCCGCAAGGTACGCGGGAGGTGGCCAAAAAGTACCCGCTACCCTTATGGTCCGCCGCTACTAAAGGGGGGGTTTCCTGACTCGAGATTTCACATGTCAATGTTTCTGCGACGACGTCGGTGGTGAAAGGGTGTGAGACGTTTCGGTTTGGGGGATTGTCGTTTGTCTCCGTCGCCAAACCTCAACTCGACGCCGACGACGTTCTGCAGCTGATGCGCCTCGATGGAGAAACCGGAAGACGTTGGGTTCACTCGTGCATGGAGCCTGATTTCATGATGTAGTCAGGTGCATGAGGTTCAAAGTCATGACACAAGGCAAGGAGGTAATAGGAAAGTAATAGTGGTCAGTTTGATAGATGATGGTTGTGATTATTCTTTTGCGTTTAATTGTGTCGTATTGTGTCGTCTTTGACGTGCTAGCTACTGTGAAGCTAAATGCGACGGGAAGTGACTCATGTCATCGTCATCCATCCGTTCAAACCACTTTCCGGGGTTCCTAACGCCTCGCAATGAAAACCACATCCCCCTCTTCATATGTCTCTCATGATCTCTGTCGTTCACTCGGGAATACCATGTTCGTCTTTCATCATCGAGAAGTTCCAAAGAAAAAATACCAAGGTAATATGTTGAGATGAGTCCCGTCTCTCCCGCCAGCTATGTTGAAAAAAACACATATCCAAGAAAATAAAATAAAAAAGCGCCCGGTCCGTGGACCAAGGGGGTATAATGCGCGTAATTCCCAAAAGTCTGTCCCCGACGTAAAAAAATAAAATAAAAAAAGAAGAGCAAATTAACTTTTGTGTTTCCCCCCTCTTTTCGTCCCGTTTCTCCTTTTCCCAAAATTACTGTAGCTTTTTTTTTCCACGAATTATTATTAGCCTTTGCTTCGGCTTCCGTTTCCCATCTCTTTGCATCTCGTTGTGGAAAATTCATGGCGACGTGATGGACCCTTCCCTGCTGTGGGCCGCGCCGTTGTGCGTCTGGCCGTCGAGGTGCTCGAGGCTGACGTAGTCTGTGATGGGCACGACGGCGGCGGGGCCGGCGGCGACGGGGTAGCTGGGCGGCGAGGGGGGCACGTCCTGGTAGACGGGGGGCGCCTCGTTATCCCAGCTGACGCCGAGGCCGGGGCACTCGGTGAGCATGACGTGGTAGTGCATGCGGAGGATGCGGCCGGTGCCGGTCTGGGTGGCGAGCTGGGGCTTGCCGACGGGCGCCCACTCCTTGGAGACGACCATCTCGATCATGAGGGCGTGGGTGACCTCGGTGCCGTCGAGGGACTTCATGTCGCAGGCGTAGCGGGGCCCCTGGCTGTGCTTGCTGGCGATGACGCCGTAGTCGAACTCGAACTCGACGTGGCCGTCGGTGCTGTTGTAGTCCGACTTCCAGCCGTCGTGCATGTACCTCTCGCCGAGGACGCGGGTCTCGGTGCGGGGGACGCCCTTTTGGTGGTTCGTCGTCGACTGCGTGTTGGCGGGCGCGTGCTTGTCGCAGGCGGGGGCGACGGTCTTGATCGTCTCCTCGAGCTTCCACGTCACCTTCTTGAGCTTCCAGAACTCGATCGTCTTGTTGGCGCCGTTGGTCGTCGTGAGGCCGTCGAGGCGGAACGACACGTTGTGCGTTCCGGCCGGGTGGATAACCTGGTTGTAGTGGGCGCTGGCCTTGATGTTGGTCGGCGGGAAGACGCGGACCGAGTGGTGGGGGAACTCGGGCTGCGGCAGCGAGCGCTTGACGTCAAAGTTCTGCTCGAACCGGATGGGCGCCTGCGAGCCGGGCGTGCCCTTGACGAGCGTCGCCTCGGCCTTGAACTCGTAGGCGATGGACGTGATGGGGGTGTCCATGGAGGCCGGGAGGTGGCCCTCGAGCAGGATGGAGAAGGGGAACTGGTGGAGGCCCTTCCTCAGCGTCGTCGGGTGGGTGAGGAACGTCCAGCGCTTGAGCTCGGTGTACTGGTTGGCGCACTCGGCGCAGTGGTTGGCGAAGGGGCGCTTGTGCTGGACGTGGATGTTGAGCTTGGCCTCGAAGGCCTCGACCTGGAGATGCTCGTCCTTGACGTCCAGCAGCATCTGGCCCGACACCAGAGCGCCGGAGGAGCTCTCGGCATCGCCAAAAAAGACGATGGGCGGACTCTCGATCTTCCAGTCGAGGCCAGCGTGGGAGTTCTCCTGGGCATCCTTGCTGGAACGGCCAAAGGGCAGAGAGAGGCGGTGGTGGTGGTGCTTCTTCTCCTTCAGGTGCTCGGCGGGCTCTGCGGCGAACATGCTGTGGTAGGGGATGTGCTCGCCGTCATCGGATGAGTACGAAGAGTGGCGGTCGAGGGGCAGTCTGCGCAGCAGGCCCTGATCTTGCACGTTGCTGTTGTTGTTCTTGTTTTGGTGCTGGTTATGTTGGGACTGATGACGGATGGTCTTCAGGTTTGCAATGGCAGAGACGCTGAAGTTCTCGGTCGAGTTGCGCAGGAAATTTGCTACGCGGTGGGGCATATTGGATTATGCGTGTGACGTTTCTTCCCCGGATTTCGAGGGACGTGTTATTCCCGGTTGTGTTCTCCTTTATCCTTTTTTTTTTTTGGTCTCTTCTTCTGAGCCTTGCTAAGATGGGTAACACCTTAGACAGGGGGGCCAGAGAGTTAGGGGGGCGGATGAACCGCAGATTATATGTAGGGTGGTGTGACGTCCTTTTCTTCTCAGGGCGCACGGGGCTCAGGGAAAAGGACAAAATCAGTCAGTTTGCCGGATCCCGAAGGATGGGCGAGTTTACTGCGGGCACACACAGGGCCTGGTTGGGTGGAGGGACCGTAACAAAGAGCGGTTGCCGGCTGACAGGGCAAGGGGACGGGTATGCGGTGTGGGATGTGTAAGTGCAAGTGATGAGGTGATGTGCCAAATCCGGCAGAGGTCTGCTGATGTCTTCCTCAAGTGATGACTGATGGCTGGTGATGGGAAGGATAGTGGATGGG